AATATCACGGAAAAAAAAAACATCTTGTTGAACTATTGCTGCGTAATAAATTTGCTGGGCTGGATAATATAGTAGCACGCTTGTTCAAGGACCGAGAGAAACAAGTTAACCTGCCGTGTTCCACACTTGGCCCTCACCTGTGATTGAGTCCAGCAGTTTAGAGAAGTGCCGTCAACAAACTGTTATTGCCTCAATAAAGGGCAAAATCAATAGTGCTGAAATGAGTGGCTGGGCGCAGTAGCCAACGTTGTTAATATCTCGCTGAGAGTGTTCGAACGAGAGGAGGAGGGACAGAAATAGGGAGGGGAAGACAGAGAGGGAAAGAAGCATACAGCCTCAATTACTCGAGGAAATCAGGGTAAAATCCATTTGCTGACACCAGCCTTGTCTCGACAACCGGCCGTACATGTATAGGTACACAGAGAAATAATTTCTCATTTACCCTTCCCATGTTCACTACCTCTACACCCTCTTTCCTTGTGCAGCCTTGGCTGCCTCTTCCCCCTTGTGGTGACTCAATTATTGTTGGGCGAGCAGTAATAAAGTGAGGGCTGTGGTGCCTTCGATCGGCTGACCTGTGAGAAGGCAGCACTGGACAGCTGACTTCACCATGATGGATCACCCTGCTCTCTTTCTCTCTCTCTCTCTCTCTCTACCTTACCTCTGTTCCTTTTGTTCTCTGTCTCTCTCTATGCCAACCTGTCAAGGCCCAGGACTAAAGGTGTACATGCTTGTGTGATGTTGAACGTATTGGGCTATTGTTTTCCATGTGATCTGCATTTTCTGAAGATGATCATACTATCATACTATAGAGGGCAACATTTGAGGGTAAAAAATCATTTTCTATTCATTAGTCATTCATTTTCTCCATTTAGAAAAATTTAAATCTGTCAGAAAAGACCTAAGATGAGCTTGGGGGTTGTTAAGTGATAGCATATGCTTCTGGTGAAGCCAAAAGTCAGCGTTATTTCAACTACACTACCCATAATCCTCCAAAAAAAATCAAGACTAGAGGTCCAACTCGGAACCAATGTAAAAAAAAAAAAAAATTCAGAAATGAAAAACACAATGAAGGAACTCAGCATGTCCCAGTCCCACTCTCATGAAGCACTGTGAATAACGTATTTTGTAACAAAAACTTCAAATATATTGTATTTTGCACATTGACTATGAGTCAGTTTCATATTGTGGTTTCTTTTATTACATATTACATCATTTTCAGTGCTTCATTGGATTGTAGTTCCTTCCCTCATAAAATACATTAAGCATAACTCTAAATTTCAAATACTTTTTTTTTTGCTTCAAAATTTGTAATGTGTTTTTTTTGCAATCCCAATGAAGAAAATGCATTACACACACACAGGTTTGTTTTTGTGAAAAGTGGGGACATCCCATAGGCGTAATGGTTTTCATACTGTACAGACCGTATACACAGCATTTGTTTATGTCTTTCAGTAAAAATAGGTTAACATTCTTGAAATAAGACATTTACCTGAGAAGCAAAATGACCTATGATATTAAGGTTTCTATTTAGACAAATATAACAAAATTTAGTAAGGGTTTAATGGGAAAAAAGAAAAAAATGCAAATAGGGTAAATATAAAAAATTATATTGCTTAATTTTTTTTATTTTAAATATGGCTATTTTTCTTACCCGATTTGATTTTTTTTCTTGTTCTAAGCATGAACCTCAATTAATTTGGTTAGATTTCTCTGAAAACAAGGCTTAATATCTCAATTTGTTTTTAAAGTGGGGTTGTTGAAAAAGTGGGCACGTACTTCAGTATCCTAATATAACCAAACAAGCATCTAACTGCTTCCTCAGGGACTTCCCCTATACCTGACCATGAAGCTGTCTCACCGAGTAGTTTTGCCTACCTGTTTTATTCAGCACCTCTAATAGAGTGAGGATGCTCACTTGTGGGCCATCCCACCCTATTCATTAAAAGGTAAAGAATCGGTTAAAAATATGGGCGGCCGTTAAGCGGGCTCTCTGGGGAGTGTGGCCACGAGTGTATTCAGATCTACCTCCCTTACGATGAAAACAGTGGGAAAGATGTGACAAGTGACCCCGACCATGACCCACCTAATGCATTCAGCTTCATCATCAGCCCAGGAAAATGAGTCCAAATCAAGCCAAGTTTAAGACCACAGAGAGCATATGTGAGCAACATGCTGCCCCAGTTTCAATGAGAATTACCAGACTGTTCCAATATGGCAGAAAGAGAAAAATAATCATCGTGGGGCGCATTTAACTTTTCCTCTTTCTGCAGAGAAGTTGACAAACAAATGACAAAAACAGGGTTCCCGAATATTTTGACCAATTGATTCCTATGGCATGTTGATTTTTAACAATATTTTCATGGAGCTTAAACTAAAAAAAATTTAAAATTCTAAACAATTAAATAAGTTGAGCAATAAAAAATTTAAATTTTATGAATTTGGAAATGGAAATCACAATTGTAAAATGTAAAAAAATATCCTGATATTTGCAGATGACCGTGGGAACTTTCAATATGCTATTTTAAATGTCTAGCAATTTATATTTTCATGTATATATATGTATCTGTCATTATAAGGGGATATTTATATCTTCATCTGTGACATCAATGAGCCAGTAATGTAATAGTCCCTATCAGCGTAAGGAGGGACGAGTAGCAACACATGTCTGCTGGGCCCTTTAGTGGGTCAGCACAGTTCTCCAGTACACGATGGAGGGAATATGTGTGTATGTGAGTATGCGTGTGTGTGTGTGTGTGTGTGTGGTAGCACAGGGTTTAGAGTGTGGGACTGCAGAGGAAGGTATTCAGACAATGTCCATGTGGTTCATTAGGGACTGAGATCAAACACTGTGGCCCTCTTTAGCCCCACTGACAGGAGACAGAAAATCTGTCCTCTCCCCACCAGCTGGGGAATGAGAGAGTGAGGGAAGAGAATGAAAGAAGAAATAGAGAGATAGAGGGAGGAAAAGGACTGATATGTGGGAAAGTCTGAATGTCCAATCTCCTGATGTTGGATACAAAAAAAAACTAATGGAAAATTGCTTATGACATGCTTATTTCTTAAGCTACAGATAACATTTAGCAAATAATATCACTACACACTACCAGTCAAAAGTTTGGACACACTTGAGTTAATATTTTCATGATCTAAAAACTCAAAAAGGAGTTTGCAGTGAAAATTTAATTAATTATTTTTAAATAACAATATTTTATTTTGTTTTATTTTATTTTTTAGCTGTAGTCAAATATGAATTGTACCTATATGATTCTCAGTTTGTTTTAGAAAATAGTTCAGATTTTTTTCCCCCAAGTGGATGGTAAATGAAAAGCGTTCATAGTTTTGATTACTTCATTATTATGTAGATAAAATGTGAATACTACTACTACTACTACTACTAATAATAATAATAATAAAGAATGGGGAGTATGCACACATTTGATTGGTAGCATATTTTTTTAAACCTTGCCTGACTAGTTGAAAATAACAGTGCAGTGCCCACAACACCCAATCTGTGCTGTAACCCATGACCCATTTAGTGTGCCTGCAAAATGTTAAATGTTGACATCACAAAGGCACAACTATGATATCACTTCCTGTCAAACACTCTACTAAATCACTAAACTGTGTGCCTCAATGAAAAGAAGGAGAGAAAAAAAACAGACTGTGTGGGTAGTCAAAAAAAAAAAAATATATATATTTTTTTTTTATTTCAGCTAGTTGCCAAGACAATATTTTTTATTTAGTTCTTTTATTATAAGTTGATGCACTAAAATAATTACTTAAAATATATACATCCTGTACATATAAAACAGACACACTTTATTTTAAGGTCCAATTCTCGCTATTAACAAACTATTAATTGTGACTTTTGCCTCCAAATAAAGTCCTAATTTGCTGCTTATTACTAGTTAGCAAGGTAGATGTTAAGTTTAAGTATTGGGTAGGATTAGGGATGTAGAATATGGTCATGCAGAATATGTGCTTTATAAGTACTAATAAATAGCCAATATGTTAATAATAGGCATGCTAACAAACAACTAGCTAATAGTGAGAACTGGTCCCTGTACTAAAGTGTACCTATACAACTGTAATAGTATGTCTATGATACTAAAATAACAGTGCTGTGTGCTGCAGGTCACATGAGATTAGCAGCCCACTGCAACTACTTGGCCACCAACTCTACATTTGCCTGATTCCTGTAGATTGGCTTTGGTTTGACGCCACATTCGTTGACCCCCTGGTCTAATTTGATGTGTTTAAGATGTAATGGATTGGGAGGTTCCTCATGGGCTGTGAATACTGATGGCCCAGCTTTGATACAGAGGGCTGCTAACAGCACAAGGTCAGTCCTGAGTGTGAGCAGGCCCAGCCAGCCATAATCACTCCCTTATTTTTTTTTACACTATTAAGTGGTGCTGCTGGAGCGGGGCTCTGGGGTATAGGACACGCACAACAAGATAAAGTAATGTTTATTTATCCCTCCCAAAGGATCCATTTACTTGGCCTGCCTCTCCTTAAGAAGCGTGCATGGAGAGAGAAATAAACACCCACAACTGGACTCCTTTCATGAGAATACCGAACACAACTGCATGGAATTGAATATACTATAATCTCTGAACTGAAGGAATCTTTAATGAATGGTTCAAATAACTAGACCGTGTTTCAGCTAAGGCTACCGTGATAAATGGAAATCAGGACCGTTCGTTTACGTTAGTAATTGCTCTTTGAAAATAAAAGCGAAGTAGAGAAATTAGTCAACACTGAAACCCATTTTTCTTCTATAATGTGATGAGTGAAACATAATATTCAATGAGAAAATATCTGGACGGGACTTATTCTTTGGGATTTCTTATTCTTTTACATACCAGATTAGAGCCAAACAGTGTCTAAATAGTTATTTGGGTATTGGTTAATATTATCCAGTAGCCTGTGTGGCCTAATTGACGTCAGCAGAAAACAAAACGTTATTTGAAAGGATATTCTTTGGAATAAAGCACCAATGAACTGTTCACAATAAGAAAGTAAATAGGGTCAATATTGACTTCATGTTAACGTTAAAAGAAAGAAAGCACAATAGTTAGAGAACTGACCTTTGGTAAGCGTTCAGGGTCGCCTGGGTGTCTAGGGACCACCTTCTGTAGCCGCTGGAAACCGTAGTCAATAGTGGGTTCATTCAGTGCTGCAGGAAAGAGAAAATTCAACCATGTTACCGCAGGGAAATTCAACACCCATCTGCAATTACCATTACAAAGAAATGTACATAAAACATAAGTGTCATTTCCTTCAGACCTCAATATGGTTCCAAAAAAACACAAAAGCAAAAAGCAATAAAATGATAGCTAAAGTATCAAATATTATGTTTCTTAACTAGCTGCCAAAATATCTGAATCAATTCCCATGCTTTAGCAGTTTGTAACCACAAGGCACCACTTTATAAATAAAACAACACTTGAGCAGTTTGTGTGAATGGATCCTGTCTATTTTTGCAGTCGGTGCAATGGCACAACCTTCATGGAAAGCTTCAAAAACTGGTTGTGAGCAATGAGACTTGTGACAGATTCAACTGCATTGCAAATGCTATAGTTTAACAGCAATGCAACTTTGTGCTTGTGTGTCAGGCAAAATATTCCAGGTTCAGAGCAAGCTCAGCTCAATAGACAGTATTGGCAGCATCATGTTGATTACCAGAAAAAGTTATTTCCACATGTCCTTCCTTTTCCTTAAAAAAAGCAAAAATACTTGCAATGGAAGTAAATGTTAATATACTCTTAGTTTTCAATGGTACAGCTACAATAAATGTAAATAATATGCATGTTAACATGATTTTAGTGTGGAAAACACACACACACACACACACACACACATATATATATATATATATACTGTATTAGACTGTATTAGACTACCGTTATTCGGTAGTGCGATACATCACGGTAATGAATATGCACGATATTGTTATTGTGGGCACTTCTAAATACCGTGAATAATTATATATTACAAATTATTCCGAATTTTGAATGCATTTTAAGAATACTTTTCCCATCAACTGGTCAAAATGCACAACACCGCTGTTTGCTGCGTGAAAGACGCGTGTGCACTCTGATGTAAATAAGCGCGGACGAGAAGCACATGGCGGAACATGTGAGAGACGCTCTGGATGAAAGCGCACTTTCACTCTCTGACAGCAGATGGCGCTAAACTGCAGAAATAATAATAATAATAATAATAATTTTTTCTGTATTGCTTTATTGCATTTAAATGTTCAGTTATTTTTGTTATAAGAAAAATGTTATTAAACCTGTTATACTGTATTATGACAGCACTTTTTAAAACTAAATTGCAACATCGTGATAATACCGCATACCGTGATAAAAGCATTAGCAATTAATCGCAACATGAAAATTTGATACCGGCATATCCCTATACTGTATATTAGTTATTAAATAAATAATAATAATTTATTTATTTAATAATTAATGATTTAATAATAATAATTTTAATTATATTTATTTATAAATACAATTATTATTAATAATACTAATAATACCAAAAAATTCACAAGATGAAATTATTATTTGTTGCAATCAACATTATATGGTGAACACATAATGTTTATTAAGCTTAACATGTACTGAACTCAGAATATTCCTTTAAACACAAACACACATACAGCTAATATCACACATCAGCAAAATATTATTTATACCAATGGCTAACAAAGACTTGCACAGATCTTATGAGAACCAGAAGTAGCCAGATCATTTCATCTATAAGCAAGATTAAGATCAACACAGAACTAAAAGGCGCCTTTTTAAATTTTCTGTGTCCTTAAGCTCCAATAACAAATCATTCAGAATTCAACTCCCTCTTCTGTTTTGTATACATAAGCACCAGTAATGTGCAAAACAAATCTATAGACATCCGTTATGAGCAAATAATTCAATTAAAATTTTCATTTCTGTAAAGCGCCACCTCCCACTCCTCATTGGCCCACAGACAGCTTCACGAATGCTCACTGAGGACAAAGCAATAAAATAATATTGAAAAAGGAACCCGATCTGTGTGATAGGTCCAAACATCCTGCACGGGTGGACCACATGGTGCTTGGTCCAATGTTTTTCTAACCTCCCTGGATTGAGTGGGACTTTCACACTGAGACAATGGGTCTTTCTCCAGCACTGGCCCACTGAGCTTGTTTGTGTGTTTATCTGTTGTGGTGCTAAACTCCAGCCCTCAGGGGCACATTCACACAGAGCCCTTCTGTGCTTCACTGAGAGAGAGTAAGAGATATACAGAGAGATATACTGTATGTCAGCAGAGATACTTGATATTTGATATGCAGCACACAGAAAAGTGGTCCCAAAAGTATTAAGACATTTAAGCTATGCTTAAATATGTATGAATTTCAATGCATTAGATAACAAACCAAACCAAGTAGTATCAAACAAATTTAAAACTTTTCTCACAACTGTTCTTTCTCTAACATCACTTTTCAAGGTGATTTTTAGAGGCTGTACTGACAGAGGTTCACACAGGTGCCCTATCAGAATAGAGTTCAGAATGTAGTTCATCGATCCACTAACATTTGACGAGTTTCAAAATCGTTGAGTTTCAAAATAATTTGACATTTGACAAGTGTCAAGATACTTTTTATATTCATTCTAAATTGTATATCCATTGTTTTTATCATTTTAAACCTAACAAACATACTTTTTTGACATGTTTGTCTTTGAAAAGTGTGCTATCCTATTTTAAAATAAATGGCTTGGTTTAAAATTCATACATTTTAAAGTGTCCCGATCAATTTTGTAGCCACTTTATACTGGTTTTAAGCTGGGTTTATACTATATATATGGTGCACAAAATATTAAAAAATTTGCTAAACATTTATCAAATAATTTAGAGATTATGATATAAACAAAAGTGTCAAATATGTCAAAATGTCTGTTATTTTCTCTCACTTTGGTGATAATTGCTTGATTCAAATAAGCAATGGGGATCTATGTTGTCTATCCTTTAACTTTATCATACTTAAACAACTATCAGCACTTAAAATGAGCAAAGACAAAGAAGTTGGATGTAATGTATTCCACACTGGAAGGAAGTCAGGAAAGAGGCCAAGATCTTACTTTAATACTCAAACACTATAATAAAATGATTTGGGTATGTGACATAAGATACCCAAGAGTCCCTCTAACAGTTATTCACTCTTCACACGCACTTTCCCCCTCTCTTATTCTCTTTTGATAGACTGACCGCCTTTCTTTTGCCTGAAGCATCAAATCTCAAACAGAACAGAGGAGGAGCAGCAAAAAATAGCAATTGAGGACTGGAGTCCTCTGGCCCTCAGTTAATTGTCCTGCTGAAGTGTAACAGCCTCTCTCTCTTCCGGCCTCCCTTCTGTTTGCCCTGTAGGCCGCAGCCTGGACGTTTCCTGAGGGAGTTCACCCAGCTCCCATCAGCTCCACAGCTGAGAGGACAGATTGTGAGCAGCCTCTGAGTGCAGTGGAGTGGATTCAGATGGCCAAGGGCCCAGACAGAACCAGACCCCTGGAGCCCAGAACACAAGCTGTGCCCAGCCTGGCCCTCCTCCACCGGGGAACAGGGGCAGCTCTGACTGTACATCGATGCCTCTTGATACAACATCCAGTGGCAGGTGGGATCTACAGCTTTATGAGAACATGCAAATGCTGGTCCAGTATCTGGTTTTGACATGAAGCCTGAAACGCGCATTGAAAAGAAAGAAGTTATTTGTGAAAAGCCAGGCTGCATCCCAACCAACTCTATAAAATGTCATGTTTACTTTTACAATAAGCCGTAACTTCATTAAAAAGCGGTTGACATTGGCTAATAACAGCAGACCTCATGCGGCGAAACGCAGCAGGGCTCAACGACTTGCTGATTGAGAGGCGGCATTAACCTCGACTCTCTCGGCCGCAATGACCGCCTGGATGCACAGTCGTTCACGCCGCACTGTGATTGACTGGCTGTATACTTAAAGAGCAAGACGAGAAAAAAAACAGTTAAAACAATCCCGGAGCATGATGGAGAACAGACCACAGCTATCGGCGAAGGAAAGAACAACAAAAACAGTCGAATGTGACAGAATGATTCAAAGCTGCCCCACGGCTGACAATACATCATATCTAAATAGGCTTCCTGTAATCAGGTCTGTTGGTGGTTTGGAGACAGGGATATGGAAGTGCGGACCAGTGCAGAGCGCAGAAGTGGCCCGAGTGGAGCATGAATGGGGGCTGGGGGGAAGCAGATTGCAGGATATCGTAATGGCAAAGGAATTGATGGAGGCTGAATGAAAGATTGTGTTGTGCAGTATTACAGCAGGTCTGACATGGAGGCAGGAGGAGAGAGTGAATGGAAGAGTAAAAGAGCGTGGGTTGAATGAACTATGTAAAGAGAAAGCTGTAGCTGCAAGGTCTGGACAGCCACCAGCTTCTGTGGCTTGAAGACAAAATGACGCAATATTCGCAACACATTTAACTACTGCAATCTGACGTATTTCTGGGTGAAACAAAATAGCAATAGGTACAATACCATCCTAAAGTCTGGGGTTGGTAAGATTTTTTTTTGGAAAGAAATTTCTTAAAAATGCAGTATGTAATGTTGTGAAATATTATTACAACTTCAAATAAATGTTCTATTTTAATATATAGAAATCTTTTGTAATATTATAAAAGTCTTTACAGTCACTTTCGATCAATTTAATTCATTCTTGCTAAATAAAAGTATTAATTTCTTTCCAAAAGATCAATCTTACCCCAGGTGAAAAAGACGTAGTATTAAATGTATTAAAAATATACTTGAAATTCAAGTAGTATGTTTATAATACATTTGTATTCCCAACATGCTTATTTGAAGTGCAATAAAAATATATTGAATTGCATTTTAATATATTTCTAAAAAGTATACTAGAAATACTTTTGTATTAAATATATGCTTAGTTATACTTCTAAGAAATATGCTAAACAGAAGCATACTTTTAATGTATTTATAAAAAGTATACTAGAAATACTTTGGTAATAAATATATGCTTAGTTACACTTTTAAGGAATATGCTAAACACAAGCACACTATTAGTATAGTTCTAAAAAGTATAGTAGAAATACTATGTTAATAAATATATTTTTAGTTACACTTTTAAGGGATATACTAAACACAAGC